CCTTATGTCGGCTTGGCCAGAAGGAAAAACTGACAGGAGTTTTGAAAACTGGGTCTCCTGGGATGAGTAACTTCACACCAGATTAAACAGATTTTTTTTTTTTTGCCAAGCATGCCAGTATCCCTTTCCTGGGTGTTATTATTATTATTGTTATTATTATTATTGAGACAGGATCTCTCTATGTAGCCCATAGCGATCTGGGACTCAGAGATCTGCCTGCTTCTGCCTCCCGAGTGCTGGGACTAAAGGTGTGTGCCAACACGCCCGGCTTTGGGTGCCCTTGAATAAATGAAGCTGAAGCTCAAGAATCTTTCTGCAAGAATGTTGACGGCAGCTTCAGTCAATCAGAAAAGTAGAGACCTCCATCCTCTTCAATAGGACAGCAAACTGAACTTCCTCTTCACAGGGATCACAATGGGAGCACATAGAAAGGGACCTTGTGCAGCAAACATGAAACAAACTGGTGGGGGAGGGCAGCGTGGGAGACCCTGGCAGAGGTGGTAACAGACTCTATACAACGTTTTTTTGTTTTTGTTTTTGTTTGTTTGCTTTTCGAGACAGGGTTTCCTGTAGTTTTAGAGCCTGTCGTAGAACTAGCTCGTGTAGACCAGGCTGGCCTTGAACTCCCAGAGATCTGCCTGCCTCTGCCTCCCAAGTGCTGGGATTAAAGGTGTACACCACCATGGCCCGGCAATCTGTACCTTTTTAAGTTTCATTTTTACTCTATATCTCTGTGTAGTTTGTGTTTGTATTTGTGTGTATAATGTGTGGGTATGCTTCAGTCAGAAATAGATACCAGATATCTCTTCCTCTAATGCTTTCTATCCTGTGTCTGTCTGTCTATGATGGCTAGTTTTATGTCAACTTGATACAAGCTAGAGTCATTTTGGAAGAAGGAACCTCAATTGAGAAAACACCCTATTGGGGGATATTTTTGTTTGTTTCGGTCACACTGTACGACTTCAAGACTGTGTTAACAAAATTAACCTTGGATCAGGGGCAGAGCCAACAACTAGTTGACAAGAGTTAGCCATAGAGAGTATGGAGGACCTGGGAAGATGGATAGAGAGACACACAGTAAAGACTAGGGAGGTACTCAGAGATTCTCAGGCCTTTTTTGTTTGGGACAGATGAAGAGATACTGTCTTGCTGGGTCTCTGGCCAAAAAAGGAACTTCTGCTGGTTGCTTCTTGACTTCTCTGATTTAGCAGGTTTTCACCCCAACACTTGACTCCTGAGTCTATTGGTAAACGGAACAACTTAGATCAAAAGAAGAATGTCTCCACTAGATCGGCCTAGGACACGCCTGTCCTTCACTTTTGTGACTGGTGATTGATGAGGGAGGGATCAATCTGTGGGCAGCACCACCCCTGGGTGGCGTGGGAGGCAGGTTGAGTAGGCCACGAGGAGCAAGCTAGTAGGCAGCACTCCTCCACGGCTTTGCAGCAGGTTTCAGTCCTGCGTGAGCTCCTGCCCTGACTTCCTTTGACGACAGACAGTAGGAAGCATAAGTGAAATCGACTCTTTTCTCCCCAGATTGCTTTTGGTCATGGTGTTTTATCACAGCAATAGAAGCCCTCACTAAGCAGCCAGGTGGTGGTGGTGCCCACCTTTAATCCCAGCACTTGGGAGGCAAGTGGATCCCTGTGAGTTCAAGGCCAGCCTTGTCTGCAGAGTGAGTTCCAGGACCGGCTCCAAAGCTACAGAGAAACCCTGTCTCTGAAAAAAATAAAACAAGAAGCCCTCACTAAGAGAGAAAGTAGTACTAGGAGTGAGGTATCGACAGACTTGATCATGTGGTTTGTGAGGTTTGTGGTAGCATTTGCACTTTGGGGTGGAAAAGCTGACTCATGCTCAGGGCTCATAGTGTAGTGCCCAGGTCATGGAGACCCCAAGAAGACTACCAGAGACACAGACTCACCAAAATGCAAAAGCAAGGTTTAATCCTGTAGTGCAAATCGTGACTCGTCTTGCACACCAACGCAGTGGGGACCAGAGGAAGTGCCCCACCATTCTTAGTCAGGGTTTTAAAGGCAAAAAATTACAAATCTATTGTTATGGGCATAAAGGGTACCGGTGACTCTCTGGTTGGCTCCAGTCAGGGGACACTGCTGGTATCCACCTTCAGCAGCTGGGCTGCAGTCTAGGGAACTTCCCGCTCTGCTGACAGCACCTTCAGCAGCTGGACTCCAGTCTAGAGAACGTCCCCTGAGACCTTATCAGGGTCATTCATGTGACATTTTGAATGAAGAGCCATTAAAGTTCTGGGAGATGGTGGCCTTTAATCCCAGCAAGTCAGGAGGCAGAGGCAGCAGATCTCTGTGAGTTCAAGGCCAGCTTGGTCTACAGAGTGAGTTTCACCTTAACCGAGCTACACAGAGAAACCTTTAAAAAAAAATCAACGAAACAAACAAAAAATTAAACAACAAACAAAACCCTAAGGAAACAGAAGAGACCAACACCAGTGAGGCGGAATCTTAGGGAAGTGTTTCCTCAGGGTCAGCACGCAGCAGTTGTGGGAGAGAGGTGGCTAGGGCTGAACCTCCTGCTGGCAGCCAAATTTAGTAACTGCAGAGCCACACAGGTGGAACTGACTTTGAAGGCAGGAAGGGGTCCGAGAGCCGCTGAGGCTTGGTGCTGAGTTTCAGGGCTGAAGTTCTGAGAGGCACCAGAGGAGGTCACTGGTGAAGGTATGTCCTCAGTGGCAGTCAAAGCCCCAGGACTGAAGAGACGGGGAGCAGCTGAGGCTTGTCACTATGCGGTAGTCAGAGTCCCAGACGCGAGCCTAGCAGAGGCTACTGATGAAGATGCAGCTCAGCTGCAGAGACCTCAGTGTTTTTGGAGATGCCAGGACCACGGTGACTGCCGAGGCCAGCAGTAGCCATGCACTGGGGCTGATCTGAGCCCACCAGACAGGCTGGGTATGTTGCCGAGGGCAGGCCTGAAAACGAAGCTGGAAGCCAGATCCTGCAGAGGCTGGAGAGAGAGACCTTACGTCCTGGGCGGCAAGCTCTGAAATGGGTCTCTCTGTGTAGCCCTGACTGTCCTTGAACTCGCTCTTTAGACCACACTGGCCTCGAACTCACTTAGATCTGCCTGTCTCTGCCTCTTGAGTACTGGGATTAAAGGCACACACCACCACCACCATCTGACTAATCACTTTTTAAACTGTTGAATTTTGGTTTTGATTTCATTTGACTATGACTGTGCTCTAACTTTTCTCTCTTCAAGTAAGCAAGTATGTAGTTATTTTTTATTTTACAAGACTTTATATATTTTAGAGAGACTGCACATTTTAGGGACTGGTTATTTTAAAGAGGCTGGGACTTTAAAAGAGACTTTATATTTTTAAAGAGACTATGTGGCCGAATGTTTGTGTACATTGTGAAGATGTGTCTTTGCCAAGGCACCTTGAGATTGGTTTAATAAAGAGCTGGCTGGCCAATAGCTGAGCAGGAAGAGGTTAAGGGGGACAGAGCGGACTCGGAGAAGAAAGATGGAGTTGCCATTCTGATGTGGAGGAAGCAGGACGGTAGCATAGAGATGAGGTAACCAACCTCATGGAGAACATAGATTTAAAAGTACGGGTTACTTAAAATTCTGAAAACTGGTTAGGAACAAACCTAAGCTAATGTCAAGGTTTTATAATTTAATAATAAATCTCCGTGTTGTCATTTGTGAACTGGTGGACCAAAGAAAATCTGACCACAAGACTGAATTTTTAAAGACGGTGGGACTTTTAAAAGTTGCAGTGTTTTATACTGTGTTATTATTAATCTGAAATATTGGGATGAATAAGAAAGGATGGTATTTAACAGTTATGTGTCTCTCAAGATTGCAAGGCCAATTGTCCTGGCTAGTTTTTATGTCGATTTGACACAAGTTAGAGTCATTTTGGGAGAGAGAACCTCAACTCAGAAAGTGTCCCTAACAGATTGGCCTGTGGGAAAGCTCCTAGAGCATTTTCTTGATTAATGATTGATATGGGAGGGCCCAGCTCACTGAGGGCAGTGTTGCCCCTGGGCTGGTGATCCTGGGTTGTATAAGAAGGCAGGCTGAGCAAGCCTGGAAGAGCAAGCCAGTAAGCAGCGTTTCTCCATGGCCTCTGCATCAGGTTCCTGTTCTGCTTGAGTCCTCCCCTGACTCCCCCAGTGCTGAGCTACTCTTCCCTGGAAGTGTAAGCAAAATAAACCCTTTCCTCCCCAAGCTGCTTTTGGTCACAGCATTTTATCACAGCAATAGAAGTCCTAACTAGGACACCATCTATCTATCTGTCTGTCTGTCTGTCTACCTGTCTATCCATCTATCATCTATCTTTCTACCTACCCCCCACCCCCTCCATTTATCTAAGACTAGGTCTCTCACTGAACCTGAAGCTAGCTCATTAATTCAGCTCAACTGGTTAGCCCCTACTCCAATTTAATTCTCTAAACTGGAGATTCCTCTGCTTCTGCCCCGACCCCGTCCACGGATATGTGCCACCACACCTGACTTTTATCTGTGTGCTGTGCCTCTGAACGCAGGTCCGCACGCTTCTACAGCAAGCCCTTTACCGACTGAGTCATCTCCCCAGCTCCAATTGGTTCTCATTATTTTTCAGACAAAGGCTCATGTTGCCCAAGCTGGCTTTGAACTCAGAGGATGACCGTAAACTTCTGATCCTCCTGCCTCCTGAGGACTAGGATTGTCACCAGGCACACATGTGGCTTCATGTGTTCTGGGGCTCAAACACAGGGCTTTGTGTCTGCTAGGTAAATAATTGGATCTACTGAGCTATATCCAGGCCCTGTACCTTATGTTTTTAAAAACTCAACAGATCTAAAGAAGAAGGGCTTCATCTGGCCCTCTTACCTTTGCAGGTTTGTAGCACGCAGCCTCCAGTCCAGGATGCTCCGTCACCTGTTCCCTGACTCTGCTCTGGCCTGGCCCAAGTGAGCAGGCAGAGGGCAAGGTCCACGGTAATGGGGCGGGAGGGGGGGTCCCCAGTCCTACCTTCTCCGTCATTCCCGGGACAGTTCCAAAGTTCACTCCGAGCACTAGGAGCACTGCCCTTCCTCCTCTCCAGGAGCAAAATGAAAGCTTGGAATTAATGATACAGACTAGAAAACTGTAGCCGGCAGACCCTGAGCAGCAGACAGAAAGCAGGCCAGCCCCTCCCACCACAGCCCCAGGCTCAAGTGGGCGGAGACAGGGTGTGGAGGGCAACAGGTGTGCAGATCAGTTGCACCCAGGAACACAACTTCCTCCAGAACTACCCTTGAAGGTTGGCTTCCATCTCAGGTGAGGGACCCAAGGGGTTGTCCTGGTCTGTGGGCTGGCTTGGTAGGAGAGGGGACTGCCCGTCCTGGGTGAGGGGAGCCTATCTCATCCTCCTTTTATGACTACCTAGCCTCAGGGGCTACATTCCCTGAGGTGGGGTCTGTGTCTTCTTGGTTCCTCCCTGTGCCCCATTTATCTCTGGACTTGGGTGCTGTTTGGGTCTTTTGTCCGTTCTTTCCACAATCTCCCTTCTTTCAGATGGGCCTGTGCTTCACTTAGCCTGTTCCCAGGGGTCCTCTGTCTGTCACTCACAAAACACCCGGAATGTCTTCATTCTTGGGAGATACGCCACGGGATACGAAGTCATGGACTTTCAAACTGCTGGAGGCTCAGGGAACACTCTGGCTTTGACCAGTCCAGTGAGCAACAGCATCCCTTGTGAGGCTTGCCATGAAACGGGGTTGACCTTTCTTCACATTGGTGGGTTGGAGTGGGTAAGGGCTCCAGCGGAGATGAGGGTGTAGCTCTCTGGGGTACCAAGGATAATAACATTCCTTGGTCAGCTGCCCAGGTTCATCTGGGGTCAGCTAAACTCTCTCAGATCCCCATCAGAGAAACCCAAGTTTAGGATTTCCAGAAGAAACAGATGTCTTTGTTAAGAGCACAGACTGCTAGCTGGCCTTGTGAAGGGGCCACATCTAGTCCTTGGACTCCAAGTGGCATGGGTCTGGCCTTGAGGCTCCTAGAGAGAAGACCCTGGCATGAAGGCCTGAGTTCAGTTCAGAACTGGGGCTTCTCATGGGGAGTCAAGAGAGCAGGGGCCCAGAAGGAGAGGGAAGGCAAGGCTTATTTAGGGGGTTCACCTGGCCCTCCATTAGCTCTTGATAGTGGCATCAGAAATGACTGTCCCGGGGGGCTGGAGAGATGGGTCAGCGGTTAAGAGCACTGACTGTTCTTCCAAAGAACCCAGGTTCAATTCCCAGCACCCACATGGCAGTTCACATAACTCCAGTTCCAGGGAATCTGATACCCTCACACCAATGTAGATAAAATAAATTTAAAAAAAAAAAGAAGAAGAAATGACTGTCCCGGCTCCACCAGGCTGTGTACTAGCCCCCAGGCTCTGTGACAATATTGGGCCTGCCCAGCTGGACTCTGGACACTGCTCTTGGCCTTTTTTTTAACTGTGACTGTCCTGGCTACTAATCTGGCCAAGGGAGGCTGATCTAAGGAAAGTTGGGACGTGTTAAGACCCTGCCTCTAGAAGGCTGGGGCTGGGACAGCAGGTAGAGTCTGAGTGTCCACTGCTACCCACCTGACCCTTGCAGCTTGCCCCTCCTGCCATGGGACTCTCCCAGAAGGAACGGGTCTTCGTAGCCCTCTTGGGGATCGCAGCAGCCTCGGGCCTCACCATGCTCCTGCTCATCCTGGTGAAGGCCACCAACGTCTTCCTGCCTGCAGACACCAAGGTTTGGCTCAGGGACCTGCTGAGAGGGTTGGGCTGAGTGACCAGGATGTTGGCCTCCACACCTGTCTGATCCCAGTGTTGTTCTTAGTTTGGAATTGTGTTTGACGCCGGCTCCTCCCACACATCCCTGTTTGTGTACCAGTGGCCAGCAAACAAGGAGAAGGACACTGGAGTGGTCAGTCAGACCCTGGCTTGCCAGATAGAAGGTCAGTGGGTTGTCCCATAGTAGGTCATTGCTTGGACTCCCGGGCAATGACAGGAGGATCTCTTGACGGTGGAAGCTACGTTTCTAGTCCTCAGGAAGGCACCTCAACGGAGCGGTGAAGTGAGAAGCAGGGTCACTCGGTTGGGCTGTGTCCGATGGAAATACACACACGGATCTCTCAGATACTGCACCTCCCCCAGGTCCTGCGGCTCTGGTGTCCTGGGGCATCCCTTTTAGGTTCCACGCCCACATTGATGACAGAAGCCACCAAGTGCTGGGTCCTGAGTTCATTTCCTGGGCTTCCTCTCAGTTCTAGAGTCAAACGACTGAGGCCTGGGGGTGGCAGAGCCATACTCTAGAAGCCCCGAAGTGGGAGAAACTCAGGGTTTCCTACCTTTCCCTGTAGGGACAGTAGTCATGAGACTTGTACAAACACACTAGCCTTATCTGTAGGTTTCCTTTGTTGTTATTTGAGACAGAATCTTGCTGTGTAGCCCAGACTGACTTTGAACCCTCTATCCCCCTGCCTCAGCCTCCTGAGTCTTACGATGATAGACAAGCACCATCCAGCCCCATTCAAAAATCCTTAACTAAGCCTGAGAACCCTTCCTTCTTCCATAAAAGGTCACATTAACGGGTCCCAAGCACTAGGTTGTGATGACGTCCTTGGGGGCCACCCCTGAGTCCCAACCTTCAGATCTGGAGCCTTTTCCTAGGGTACTGTGTTTCAGGACCTGGGATCTCTTCCTACGCCTCTGACCCAACACAGGCTGGGGAAAGCCTGAAGAGCTGCCTGGAGGAGGCGCTGGCACTGATCCCACAGACCCAGCATCAAGAGACGCCCACATTCTTGGGGGCCACAGCAGGAATGAGGCTGCTCAGGTGAGGTAGTACCAGGTTACATCTGTTAGGGTCACTCCTGAAAGCCAGGCTTGAATACCCTGGGGTGAGGTGCAGTGGAGGGAGGTTGGGGTGAGGCTTTCCTCCAGCATGATCCCCTCTACCCAGCCAGAAGAACAGCTCTCAGGCAAGAGACATTCTAGCAGCTGTCTCCCTGACACTAAGCAAGTCTCCTGTGGATTTTTGGGGTGCCGAGATCTTGGCTGGGCAGGATGAAGGTGCCTTTGGTTGGATCACTATCAACTATGTCCTGGGGATGCTCCTCAAGGTGCAGGGGCAGCCCAAGGGGGAGGGGTGGGTCTGAGAGACCAGTGCCTGCAGCTGGCTGCCGGCAGCTGGCACCAGCGGCTGCCCACAGCTAAGCGTCTCTTCTGTGGTCAGTATTCCTCTGGACAGTGGATTCTGCCTGAAGACAGGATGCTGGTTGGTGCTCTGGACCTGGGTGGAGCCTCCACACAGATCAGCTTCGTGCCTCAGGGCCCCATCCTGAACCAGAGCAGCCAGGTTACCTTCCGTCTGTACGGGGCCAACTACAGCGTCTATACTCACAGCTACCTCTGTTTTGGGCGGGACCAGGTCCTGATAAGGCTCCTGGCTGATCTGGCACAAGTTAGACGGGTATTTAAAGGGTGGAGAAGTGGGATGGCATGGGGGTAGAGTCGGGGAGTGTACCAGAGCCTAGAGTTCATGGCGTTTCCTCTCTCGGCAGAACAGCTCAGAACCCCGGGTCCAACACCCATGCTACCATAGCGGCTACCAGGCCACATTGTCACTGGCCCCGGTGTATGAGTCGCCCTGTGTCCATACTACAGATTCCCTGAACTTCACTCAGAACCTCACAGTTGAAGGGACAGGCAACCCCAGGGACTGTGTGGCAGCCCTCCGAAATCTCTTCAATTCCTCCAGCTGTAAGGACCAAGATTGTGCTTTCAGTGGAGTCTACCAGCCTCCTGTATATGGCCAGTTCTATGTAAGCATGTTCCCCTCCCTCCCAGCCCTGGCTTCCTTCTGGGGCCCCAGGTATCCTTCTGAGGTGCCCCGGCTGGCTCTTAGGGATTCCGAAACTGGGGAAATACTTGGCTGAAGTGTCCTGGGCCTCCCTCAGGCTGACACGGCCTTCTCTACACCCCCCCAGGCCTTTTCCAACTTCTACTATACTTTCCACTTCCTGAACCTCACCTCCAGGCAGCCGCTGAACATTGTCAATGACACAGTCTGGAAGTTCTGTCAAACACCCTGGAAACTGGTAGGTGACCTGACCCTGGATGCGGCCCTAGCACCCTCTCCATACCGCACCATGGTCAAGCAGGGCCTCTGGGGTCTTACTGGTTTTTCCTGGACAGAGATTCATGGCAAAGCCATGTTTAGGTACCAGGATTGGGGAGGAAAATGCCGTGGTAGGGTGAGTGGCTTGTTTTGGGTAGAAACAAGTCCAGAGCCCTGATGAGATCAGCTTCTGGTTGTCATGAGGTTGGCCACCCCACCCAGTCCTAGCTGGAGGATGGTCTCCATGGGGACTTAGAGGACTTTTTTAAAAAAACATTTAACACTTTCCTGCTGTCTGGAGACTGTTTGGATGTATGGTGGTCCCACTATCGCTGGGGAGGGGAAAATCCTAGGAAGTATTGGAAACTCACTTTTACATCCGCTTTTGGAACTCAAGGTGGAAGCCAGCTACCCTGGGCAGGAGCGCTGGCTACGGGACTACTGTGCCTCAGGCCTGTACATCCTCGTATTGCTGCTGGAGGGCTACAAATTCAGTGAGGAGACCTGGCCCAACATCCAGTTCCAGAAGCAGGTGACTGGCACCCAGAACCTCAGCATGTCTGGTTCGGGGTGAGAAGGGGATGGGGCCTAGGGCAGACACCCAGCAGCCCTGAGCAGCCGTGTGTCTCGCAGGCAGGTGGCATGGACATTGGCTGGACACTGGGCTACATGCTGAACCTCACGGGCATGATTCCAGCAGAGGCACCCACCCAGTGGCGGGCGCAGAGCTACAGCATCTGGACGGCAGGAGTGGTGTTTGCAGTACTGACCCTCGTGGCCATTCTAGGAGCAGCTGCAGTCCAGCTCTTCTGGACCCAGGACTAGGGGAAACCAAGCGGAAATAGATCACAGGCTGTTCCGCATCTAAAGCAGGAACAGCGTTCAGATTCAGCAGCAACGGCATAAAAGTCTGTGTTGTCTGCCTTGTGAGCCACCATCCACCGTCCTCAGGAAAGAAAGCCTTTAGCACACAGGACCCACGGCGCACATCCTGGATGCCTGCCCTCATGAACCCCTGACCTTTAAGGGCTCTAGTCCTTCAAGCAGACCAAGTGGGCCAATTCCTGATAGTATTGACTCCCCTCTGCCCTCAGGGTGGCACTGGCTATGGGGTCTGTAGTCTTCCAAGGGATGGAAACAGGAGGCTCTGGGAAGGGGCAGCTGTGGGACAGGGATACCTCCGAAGGCTGTGGCTAGCCCAGCAGGACTAGGGCTACCTCTGAAAGCGTGGTCAGCCCAGCAGAAGCCCCTGCTTCCTCGCTATAATCAAAGTAGACCAGACAGTCAGAATCCAGGTCTGTGGACCAGCCCAGCTTCCCTCTGCCAAGAACTTTTGGTTGGATCCTCTTTATCATCAACCCCGGAAGGCAGACCACACAGGGATGAGGGGGAAAGTTTGATCCTCTTTATCATCAACCCTGGAAGGCAGACCACACAGGGATGAGGGGGAAAGTTTTTTGTTTGTTTAAATTAAAACTGATCTTGTCACAATGTTGCTAGTGCAGGTCTCCTGGCTTGGGTCCTGGAACAGCTCGGGCTTCCACACAGGCACCAGCTGGGACCACAAAGCACTTGGGGAAAATGCCGATACAGCCGTCTCGGTGTCCCTCCAACCATGCTTCGTCCACTGTGGAGACATGCCCGATGCTGTGTCTGCTTACAGCCAAAACCCAACCCTATAGAACAGAGCCCCCACCAGGCCTGGACAAGCCAGCAGCTTTGGGGAAGGCCGGTCTTGTTCTACCTTCACACAGAACATCCACTGTGTCCCCCTGGCGGAAGTCCAAATCCTCAGGCCTTCGGGCTGTGTAACTGTGCCGAGCCACTACCTGGTAGAGGACTGGTCGGCCCCAGGCCCCCTGTGGCAGAAGGGTGGGTTGCAGGGGTGGCACAAGAGAGGGGCTTTCCCCTCCACCTGCTGGGGCTGGTGGGCATCACGGCCTCTCCCCCTGCCTCACCCGGCACTGGAGATGCAACCCTCGTGAGCCCACGGCCACATTCCTCCATGCACTCTGCAGTGAGTCCTCCGTGGAGATTGGGGTCCAGAACTTCTCTCGTGGGGCCTGGTAACTACGAAGGGGGTCCTGAGTGTGCGCTACAGTATGTAGGGGAGTTCCTGTGTGTCCCCGGAAAGGAAGTTAACCTCGGGGTTACTTCCAGTGACTGCCTAGGATCTTAGGCATAGAGCTAAGAAGGCCTTAGCTTTGGTCCCTTCCTGGGCCAGAAAACTGACCAGTTCAGAACAGAACAAGAGCAGCAAAAACCCCCTTTGTCAGCTCTGGACAGCTCACTTCCTTGTAGCTGGGATCCACCCTTTTCTCCTGCAGCCTAGGGTCTCCTTCCCCTCAGTTTTCTGACTCACCTGAGCTGCCCCCTCTGGGCCTGGTGAAGGAGGGCTTGAGCCAGCAGTGTTCGAAGGCTGGACAGGTCAGTACCTCTTGGGGCCTTCAGGGGCACAGTAAGGTGGCACTGTACAGTGACAGTCACCAGGGATTCAGGGTCCTCAGTAGCTGCTCCCTGAGGACAGAAACAGGGTTGCATAGCCTTTGAAGGCAGGGTGGTCCTTGTACCCAAGGGGTCAGAGTAGGGACTGGGCTACAAGGAGGAAAATAGAATCTGAGCGAGGGCTGCCCTTGCCTCAAGTGGCTGGTGAGGAGGGACTGGAGAGGATAGCTCTTACCCCAGCTTCTGAGGAGTCTTCAGGGGGGCCTGGGTCAGGCCCTCTGGATGCCATCAAGCTATAGCCTTGAGCACGGCTCATGTGACCACCTTTCCACAAAGAAGATACTTTGAAGTGATGAATGACTGGCAGGCAGCTGTCCTCTGCCCCAAACTTTAAGGGACAAGTGCCCATGTCCCAGCTCTCCTGAGGTGGCGCCCCCTCCCCTATTGCTCAGGATCCTCTTACCCATAGATGCAGAAGACTGATGGGCAACTTGCTCCATCTGTGACCCCTGCAAAGGAAGACAGGGGTAGCAGGACCTCAACAGAGGGGGCAGCTCAGGTGAGTCAGAAAGCTGTAAGGAAGGGGACCCTAGGCTGCAGGAGAAAAGGGTGGATCTGAGCCACAAGGAAGTGAGCATTGTCCTGAGCTGAGAAAGGGCTTTTTGTTGCTGCTGTTCTGTTCTGTTCTGAACTGGCCCTCACACACCCCACCTGCAGCTGTCTTGACACAGTTTGTTTAGTTGGTTTTGTTACATCTCACATTATACAGAACTGTTTTTGTATAAATTGTCTAAAATTTATTTTTGCACCATCTGAATGCCTGCCAGTGTTTTTTATTGTTTAGCTTGCCAACTTTCCTTCAGGTGGGAGGGAATTTAATCAACATGAGGAGCCTGTCTACAGATGTGCCCGGGTTGGGGTGTGGGGCTACCACCTTCCACTTAAAAGCGTGTTTAACTGGATGTTGAGAGCCTACTTTGTATGTCAAGAAGTCACACAAGCATCTTAAGGCTAAGCGTAAAGTATAGTCCAGGCCAAACATTTTGCCAAGTTTCAGTAGAGAGGTCACCTTTTCCTCAAAGTTCTACAATTCACACATCAGTCCTCAGGAGGGTTTTGCTCCAAGCATGGGTTCTTGTTTTTTATTTACATAGATCTAATTCTGCCATGAGTCAAGGAGAATAAATATATCCACAGCCTCTTTCCCCCCTTCCCTTTGAAGTGTTCAGTTCTCGCTGATGCTGGTAACCTGGCTACTTTCTAGTTATCAGCTCTGCACCCATAAGAGCCACTTTGTGGTGGCTTTTCCTAGACTTCCCCTGACGTGGCTTTACCTCTGTTGGATACTATAAACACTCGCACCCCCCCCCCCCCAGAAGAGTGTGGTCCTGGGTTTGGGACCTAAAGTACAGAGGTTCTTGAGGTGATGGGTCTAGACTCAAGGGAGAAACTCCTTGGGCTTTATCCTGGCACCGCCAGCGGTTAAAGATGTGGTCTGGGAGCTTGGCCAGCAGTTGGCAGGAAGTTTAGAAGTAAATGCATGGTGGTCCCAAACTCTAGGCACATCTGGGGACAGGGTTGGGTCTCCATAGGTCTAGAGTCCACAAACAGGTTGCCAATGGGGGGGGGGGACTCAGCCTGCTCCCCAGGCCTTCTACTGATTCCCGACTCCAGTTTGGTGGCTTCTCCATGGACCTTGAGAAACCCAGGACAGACTCTAAGGAGGTGCCCAGCCTCGGGTATCCCGAGTTGGCGCAGAGGTGGAAACCTCTAGCCTCTGTTGGGCACTCATTGACGTGGCCTGTGAACTAGGTTTAAAAGGAGACTATGGAAAAGTAACGTTTGGCCCTTGTGAGGTTTACAGCCCAGGGCAGGAGCTCGGAGATGCAGGTTTAAGGACCTGAGGATTTTGAGCACAGCTGTAAAGGACATTGAACTGCTGGACTGGGATGAACTGAATACTGGAGAGAAAAGAGGTGGAGGTGACTAAACCACTCACCAGGCTCTTAGGGCTGCACTAGGGCAGCAGGGGTTTCTGCCTAACCACTCCTTACCCAGGCACAAGGGGCTCTGACGACTTACAATGGCCAGGAAGGAGGTTGGCATTGTTTGGGCCTTCTGACCTGTCTTGCCCCAGGCTGTCTTGTGATCACTGTATGTCCAACAGAGGCTCCATCCTTCTGTTGACAATCCCCGTCAGGTCCCTGTGGTGGGTTTGAGTATGTACCAATGAATTGGCCCTGCTAGCTCATCCCCTGGTGTCAGGCCACGATGGCTGACTGAGCATATCCCTAGCCTGGCTGTCAAGGAGCTGCCTGCCCTCCCAGAAGCTTATGCTTGCTCTGGCTCATGACAGAAGAATGAACCGAAGTGACCAGCCATCCCTGCCAGGTCAGAGCAGGAAGAGTGGGAATGTGGTGGATGCCAGCTCTTTGAAGGCCATAGAAGGAGGGGGCCCTCATTCTCAAGGCTTTCCCAGCAGTGACTCATGCCCTGGACCCAGCCTGCCTAAGCTTTGTTCCTTATCAGCCCACAGTTCTACAAACCAGGCAGAGATCTGCTCAACGCCTACCCACCTACCTTCTGAGGCCAGCCGTCTGAGGTGCGGTTGTCAGGAATAACAGAAGTCACCACCTGGTGGGGGCAGGAATACAACTGGGTTAGGGCCCCATTGAGGCTGCTCCTCCAGATCCCCAATTCCTGGTCCCTCTGTAGCTGTAATCTGCAGGGTGTGGGATGCCTACACCTAGCTCAAGACTGCTGGACCACTACAGCTTAAAAAAAAAAAAGCCTGGCAGTGGTGATGGCGCACGCCTTTAACCCCAACACTCAGGAGTTCGAGGCCAGCCTGGTCTACAACAGCCAGTTCCAGGACAGGCTCTAAAGCTACAGAGAAACCCTGTCTTGAAAAACAAAACAAAACAAAACCAAAAAAAAAAAAAAAAGATGACCAAGAGAAACCTGTACTAATAATAGCAACTTAATTTTAGTACAACTTTTTAAATATTCTTGTTTCTTGTAACAGTCATCTAAGTGAACTCTGGTGGATGCACAGGTAGTGTCCTTTCCACCTGTACTCAGTCCACCTCAGGCGACAGGCACAGGCAGTGTACACCTCAGGCAGCTGCACATGGTCACACCGTGTTGGCCCAGCACAAGGGCTGCTGCAAATAACCATAGGCCAGCTCAGGGGTCATCCATGCAATACCAAGTTGGCCTCTCTTTGTGACATCCAAGTGACTAGTCTTTTGAGTTCCTCTCTTATATTTGAAGGTGGGATATTCCCCCATAGTCTGTGGTTTAGGGGGCCTGATATGGTCCAGACGGGCCACCACATCCCTTGCAGATATGTGTACCAGAGATGCAGAAACAGAAATACATGAAGATGCACAGACAGACGCTGGGAGCATCTGGGAGAAGAGTACGGGGTGGGGAGGGGCACCAATAGGGATTTCCATCAAAAGGCCTGAACCCTCTCCTTTAAACTGACTTACTTCTGGTAAGTTCTGCCTCCCGGGCTACAGCCTTATGTATGAACACCCAACCCCAACCTAGGAGCCGTGTGCCCACTCTCTTACCTGTTTGACTTTCAAGGGGCCTGACCTACACCCCATAAACACATTGTGGGAACCACCACACTGTGAGTTTGACATGGGCTACAACTGCCATTTTGGCAGCTGGGTACCAAGCTGGAAATCACCCTAGTGCTTTACCTTAGCCTTGCCGAGGAAATCCATGGGCTCCAGATGCTGTAGGTATTGCCTGGGAGGCTGGAAGACCTCACCCTTGGGGACTTGCCGAAGCTGCAGGGGTACCTGTTTCTGGGATGGAGCATGCAAACCTGGGTGGCCACGGCTGCAATAACTGAGCCTCAAAGCAGAGGGGATGCTTGGGCTATCATCATGTGACTCACTACAAGAAGTATGGGGCATCCCAGCTCCCTCTCTCCATATAGTCTGTCTCCTATAGTCTGTCTTTAGGGCATAAGCTATAGAACCTGGCTCCAAACCAGTGTGACTGTCACCTGCCCTTCTTACCCGTACTTGGTCCAGGGCAGTGTCCAGGATATCTTGGGCGCCCTCTGGCCATTTGGAGATTGCCTCCTCTAGAGTATCGGCAGCCTTGGTCCAGAGCCCTGCCTGGCACTGTGTTGATGCCGTGTTGTACAGGACCTAGGAACAGGGCAGCCGTGATAGCAGGGGCCAGGCTCCCCAGATGGTCTTCATCTGAACTCCCCAGTCATAGGAGCTGAAGGTTCTTCTGTGAGTTCAGCTGCCATAGGCGCTATGGGTAGGGACCAGGCCACCTGCTGCCTGGCTGACTCGGTTGTAAGATGCAAGTGCTCATTCCCGGTATCTGTTGAGTCCTCGGAGGGCCATGTTTTGCTTTGAGCTTTTCTGCTTGAAACAGCAGAAGTAGCTCTCTCTTTTAAAGTGTCCCCCTGTGCTGGGGAGGGGTGGTAGCTGGAGAGATTGCTCAGGGGTGAGGGTACTCACTGCTCTTCCAGAGGAGTTAGGTTAGACTCCCAGCTCTCACATGGTGGCTCACAAAGTATTCCCTTGGCTAACACCCTTCTAATTCTATACTCTGCCACCCCCCATTAACTGCTCTCTGTGCCCCGAAACCTAGAGTGTGTCTAAGGGTTCCCATTGACTGTCCAGGGACATTCAGAATCCCACATTCAGAACACTCTCATGGGCAGGATAAACTGAGTTAAGGCTATTCTGCAGACCCAGTGACACGTGGACTCACGATGCTGAGAGCCCATCCTCCCTTCACCAGCTTTGCTATGAGGAGAGAAACCCACCCACTCTCCCTAGGTCCTCTGTTCCTACTCTTCCCTCTGGTGCAGCTGCAGGTGCTGCTGAGCTGTTCTCCTTCCCCCAAACTGGTCTGTCACCTTGTCATGATCTTCAATTCTGTCCCACTTTTCCCCACATGAGCCCATTCTGGCTGGCTCCCAAGTGCGTGAGTAGACCACTCCGGCCTCCGTGGGCAATCAAGGAGCTGGGGGATTTTAGGGCTCCAAAAGTCTTTGGCTGGACAGGGCACCTCATTCCACATGGCTGACGATGACAGTAGCACCAACATAAAGGTGACAGCCCCTGGCAATGCTCTAGATTTTACCCTAGGACTCCAGCCAGGACTTCAGACTACAAGATAGGATGCCTAGTGCAACCCAGGACCATGGCAGAACCTTAGAACTCCCATGAACCCTAGACTCCCCCCCCCCACAGAACCCCAGGGCCACAGAGCACCTCCAAGGCCCGGCAACACTACTTGGTGTCCAACCCTGCACACATGGAATGCCCACTCACCTCCCAGGCATGCAGTTTGAAGTACAGACCCAGTTGAGTGTAGTCAATGGCAGCATTGCCTCTCAGCTGTGCCAGGGCCATCTGGAAGTCAGACACAGCCTCCTGGAACCTGTGAGCAGCAGGGGCCTCTCAGTAACTACAAGGGAGGAGCTGAGCCTGTGAATCAGCCAATGAGGAACAGGGGACCCTGCTGCATGCACTCACCTCTCCAGCTGGAAATTGGCCACTCCCCGCTGGAAGAAACCAACAGCCATGCAGGGGTCCTTGGTCACTGCTTGGTCAAATGCCTGGGGACAAAAATGCTTGTGGAACAGCACGTTCAGTGACCCAAGAACCCATTCCCACAAATGCACGTGGAAATGTATTAACGGACAAGAGCTGCTTGCAGTAGGTGCCTGCCAAGCTGGAGCCCGCACAAATGTGTCGTTGCATAGACTTCTCGGCTTCACCAAGCACCTCAGAAGATCATGTATCTCTATGGTACAGAAACCCATTCTGTCTACAGTGAGCGCAGAGCTAAAAGAACACGCTCCAAAATGTCAGTAACAGTTGTCTCTGGGAGACAGAACTGTGTAAGACTTTTGGCATTTTAAAATCTCTTTTCAGGGGCTGGAGAGGGCTGCTCTTCCAGAGGTCTTGAGTTCAATTCCCAGCAATCACATGGTGGCTCACAATCATCTGTAAGCCGATGCCCTCTTCCGGTGCATGCAGACAGAGCACTCACATCCATAAAATAAATAAATCTTTGAACATCTCTTTTGGTAGTTCACACAAAATGTTACACTAGATATAGATTAGAATCAGAATCGCAAAGTCTTCTGTATACAGGCAGCACAGATCCTTAAACCAGACACGTAAATGTCTGTCCCCAGCAGGGAAAGCAGCCATCAGCTAAACGTGGTGTAGCTACCTGATACCAAAACTGGTCAGGTGGACTGACTGTTGAATTCCATCTGACTTGAAGTTTTCCCGCGCCACAATCAACCTGGAAACGGGGTGGCTGCTTGGAGCTGCATCCACCATTGCAAGTGTCACACACTGACAGGGTGAAGTGCAGTCACATCAGAGCTGCACCCTTAGTTTTCCTTATTGCTGCTGCACCACCTGCTTCTTAGAGTTTCCGGGTCTAACCGATATGCCTAGGCTTATACACATTAGTTCTGTTGACTTAAGGCAGTGCCCATTCTTCTAGGGCAGAGCATTCCAAAGCCCTCCTTAGCTACAGTGTGAGGAGGTGAGCACTGGAAGGCTAACACATGACTCACTGTTGAACACCTGGTAGCAGATCGTTACATTCCCTCTCCTGAACAATCACCTTTTCTTTGTTCTATTTTTGTTGTTGCTGTTCGTTTTTGTTGCTGTTGTTACCGTTGTTTTTGTTTCTTGAGCCTGGGTTTCCCTGTGTAGCTTTGGAGCCTGTCCTGAATCTTGCTTTATAGACCAGGCTGGCCTCAAACTCAAGGGATCTGCCTGCCCCTGCCTCCCGAGTGCTGGGATTAGAGGCAGGCGCCACCATGACTGGCTTGAGCAATAACTTTTTAATGAAGAAGCAATTCTGAAGTAATCGGAGGGGCAGATGCATATATAAGAAGTAACAGAAGAGGGCTAGCGAGATGGCTCAGCGGGTAAAGACACTTGCCACCATGCCTAAAGACCTGAGTTTGATCCCTGGGTCCCACGGGGTGGAAGGAGAGAACTGACTCTCACAAGTGGACTCCTAACTTACACACATTTGTAAATAAATAAACAATAATCATTTCAAGAAAGAAACAAGAGGAAAGACCATCTCTGCACAGCCCAAGCTTCCAACCCTCACTCTTGGGGCCTGGGTGTCTTTGCTTCTCATCTGTGTGGTGTCCAGGTCAATCACTGCCGTATGAATGACAACGTCTAGGTTAGTGGCAGGATGCTGAGGGTTTACATCACACACCCACGAATAGCTGTCACTTTGAGGAGCACACGGATGCCCTGACTGCCTCCTCTTACAGTGTACATTCCTGAGTTTTGCTTTGAGAAGCATTTGGGGAGACATGGGAGTGCTCAGGACTGGGAAGACAACTGTGTGTGCCTCCATCCCCACAGGCAACGGCTAAATCACTTTCCCCACACGTGTGCCTTCACAGGACAGACAGAGCCCAGCCTGCTGACTCTGGCCCAGCTTCCAGCCTGCCTTTAGGGTGCACCCCCGCCCCCCAACTCAGTCCTGAAGACCTGGCCTGGTACAGGACTGATGCATTTGGCACATGTGGCTATGTGCCCTGTGCTCCATTCTGGCCTCAACTAAGAGAGGGCTCTCCCAACCACAAACCTCCTGCCTGCTTCAGGCAGTCACTAAGAGGAAGCATTAGTGGAACGATCTCTAGGTAAAGGACAAGGTGAAGGGGCAGGAATTCTCCCACTTCCAGGAGTCTGTGAGGTGGAGAAGGGCGTCCTTTTCCAGGGCATCCATTCCGAGATAAGGATTCATGCCCGCAGTTATGTCTTCATTTGCATTCCCCTAAAGGCCTCCACCAGGGATATGCCCCATAGGTTTCTATCACCAGTCCCAGGAAGCTTACTTACCCGCAACGCAGCCTCGGGATCCCCCGCCATCAGTCGCACGCAGCCCATGTTGAAGTACATCTTGGCCCGCGGCTCCTGGACATCTGAGAAGAGGCACAGGGCGCGATCCCAGTCTTTGCTTGCCACGGCCAGCACGCCCTGATGCCAGTCCCGTACCTGATCCCCTAGAGAGCTCATGGAGCTGGGGACACCTGCTCTGCCGCGAAAGAAGTCAGTGATTCTAGTTGGAGAGTGCGGGGCAGGAGGAGGGTGTCCCACAGGAGTTGGGGGGCCGTGGGCCAGGGACAAGGGCTCGGGGCCAGGACAGCAGAGAAAAGCACCTGATGAGACCCGAATAAAGTGCACACAAAGACACCTGGAGTTGAGACACGAGGTGGTTGAGACCGACTGCCCGAAGCCCCGCCCCCGCCCCAGGCCCCTCCCCGAGGCCCCGCCTTGAACCACCTAACCTCAATCCATCGCACTGAGGACCGGGTCTCCCTCCGACCACATAGCCACGCCCCTTCATCCTCCAAGCCTTTCTGTCCACGCCCTGGCCCAACTCAGCGCCAAAAGACCACGCCCATTTCCATATGGACACTCCCCCTCACATACCCCGCCTCCCAGTTCTTGCCTCCCGCCTGATGTGACCGCGCCCATTACTCAAGCCTGGCGCACCGCATCTTTCTTACTCCAAGCTCAGAACTTCAATGGGTTTATCCCATGCTTTTTCAGACCTAGGCCAGCTGGCCTTGGTGAGTTCCCGATAGAACATCCCCATTGTCTCAGTGTGTGGGTGCACCCCTCGTGGTCCTGAGTTCCTTGCTCGTGCTCCGTCTCCTTCTGCTCCTGATTTGGACCTTGAGATTTCTGTCTGGTGCTCCCATGTGGGTCTCTGTCTCTGTCTCCTTTCATCGCCTGATGAAGGTTAATATTCATGAGGATGCCTATGTGTTTGTCTTTGGATTCACCTTCTTATTTAGCTTCTCTAGGAACATGAATTATAAGCTCAATGTCCTTTATTTATGGATCCGGACTAGCTGAACATAGCGGACAATGAGGAATACTGAGAACTCAAGAACAATCGCAGTGGATTTTTGATCCTACTGCACGTACTGGCTTTGGGGGAGCCTAGGCAGTTTGGATGCTCACCTAACTAGACCTGGAAGGAGGTGGGCGGTCCTTGGGCTTCCCACAGGTCAGGGAACCCTGATTGCTCTTTGGGCTGACGAGGGAGGGGGACTTGATTGGGGAAGGGGGAGGGAAATGGGAAGCGGTTGCGGGGAGGAGGCAGAAATCCTTAATAAATAAATAAATTTAAAAAAAAAAAAGAACTTCAATGGGCCCTGGGCACTCTACATCTTTTACGCCGGTCAGCAGAGTGTTTAGGAGAAAGTCGTCCGGAAGCGCTGCAGCGATCGGGCCAAGACTCTTGGGACAAGTGTGGACGGTGCATGGCAGAGCTGCCTATCAACAACTTCAGGCCAGGTGGGCGGCTTGAAGGATAAGCAGCCCAAGGATTTGACAGAGCTCCGCCGTTGGCCTCGCCCAGTACGTGTTCTTCAGAAGTGACCAGATGGGCTTGACGGCTCCAGGAGCTACAAGCTGTGCGGGACTAGCTGCAATGTGACTCCCCTGGTTGGGGCCTCTGAGTCTGGCATAGGCCTATTGGTAGTGCAGCCTGCATACCTTTCTCAGGTAGTGGGAGCTGACCTGGCTGCTCCTCCCCCTTGCGAATATGGCCACCGGAACTGGGTCTTCTTCCACGTGCCTTTTACCCTGTGTGATCAAAGCTATCCAAAAAACTACTAGTTGGACAGGGCTTGTGCCCTTGTATAGACAGGTGGGGCGGCCCAATATGGACTGTGCAGGACACATGGAGGTTGATGTCTACCTTCAAACATTCTGCTTGGATGAGGCCCACCCACAGCATGGGTACTACACCTTACCCAAAGCTGCTGAGATTTTCTCCGTGACCAGGTGTTGAGGTGCCATGACTTACCCAGGTTGGCTCACGAGTAAGCACCACAGCACCCAGCCCAAGCAGCTAGGATCCACTGTACTTGGGCCCATTCACCTTCCTGGCCTAGTTCTTGGTCTCCTGTGCTCGGAGTTATACAGCTGGTTCTTCTTCCTGTGTGACCCCGACAGATACTGAGCTTTTCATACCCTTCATCCTTATGTGTAGCAATAGCAGCGATCAATTCTGTCCTGGCAAGGCCTTTATGAGAACAGAATGAGATCACGCGGATGGTCTCAGCCAACTCTTGGCTCTTAGCAGAGTTTGTAAACCTGAGCTCCTGGGGTTTTGTGTACCTTGGCCTTCCTCTATGGGTGAGCGTCCCTAAACTTGCAGTCTGGAATAACTTGCCTCCTCCCCCTCCTCCTCCTCCCTCTCCTCCTTCTCCCCCTTCTCCTCCTCCTCCTCTTCCTTCTTTTTGTTTGTTTTTTTTTTGTTTTGTTTTTCAAGACAGGGTTTCTGTGTAGCCCTGACTGTCCTGGAACTCACTCTGTAGATCAGGCTGGCCTCAGATTAACAGAGATCGGTCTGTTTCTGCCTCTTGAGTGCTGGAATTGAAGGTGTGTACCACACCACCTGGTCTGACCCGCCTTCTTTAGGTTCTGGTACAGCCATTCTGCCCAATCCCCAGGTCCTGCATTGTCCCTAAGCAGGCTGCCACACTCCCATGTGGGTTCCATTCCCTTTTGTTACTCAGTGCCCCTTCTCAGAAGGTCACCTTAACCTCCATCCCTGCCCTCCCACCTGCCCATATTCTTTCCCATGGGTCACAATTCTTCCTAGAGTGGCCATAGCCAATGTGGTGGTTTGAATGAGAATGACCCCCATAGTCCAAATGTTTGAGGGCTTGGTCTCCAGTTGGTGGAACTGTTTGGGAAGGACCAGGAGGTGTAGCCTCATTGGAGGAGGTGTGTCACCGGGGGTTGGGCTGAGGTTTCAAAAGCCTGCAGCATTCCCAGTTAGTGCGCTCACTCTCTGCCTCACCCTTGCGGTTCAAGCGCTCAGCTACTGCTCTAGTGCCATGTCTGCCTACCTGCCACCGTCCTCCTGCCCTGGTGGTCATGGACTCACCCTCAGAACTGTGAGCCCCAAGTAAATCCTTTCTCCTATAATTTGCCTTGTCATGATGTCTGCACAGCACTAGAAAATAACCAACACAGTCCGCTCTCTTATGTTGCATGGTTGTCCCGAGTTCTACAAGGATTTCCTCCTGAACCCCAAAGGTCAGCCACAGTGACTTCCTCCTGAGCATGCATGATGAGTTCCTCATACAGTTCACATGGATTATGAAGGCCAGGTAGCTTGTGTTTAAGTGGGCAGGGACCCTGTGGAGTAGCTGTAGTGATGACGTCCTGTCCAGAGACATGCCAGTTGGACAGACACGTGGCCTTTGACTCTGTGTGGGTCCATAGTCCTTGTGTGGCTGCCATTTGAGCATCAGGGGTCCTCTGGGAATGATTTCAAATCCACTCATGAATCTTGAAGAAGGAGTGAGAATTGCAGAAGTCAGGTGGAAGGTAGACCCTTGTCTCTATGCTGGGGACTGAGTTTTGCTGAAGAGTCCAAGGGACCAGCTAAAGCAGCCTCCAAAGGCCATATCTGGGGACTGGAGAGATGGCTCAGCAGTTAAGAGCACTGGCAGCTCTTCCAGAGGACCAAGGTTCAATTCCCAGCACCCATATGGCAGCTCATAGTTGTCTATAATACAACTCCTGTTCCAGGGGATTCAACACCCTCACACAGACATAAATGTAGGCAAAACACCAACGTGCATGAAATGCAAATAAATAAATTATTTTTAAAAGTCCATATCTGAGACCAAGCCTCAGTTTGTCTTTAGGACAGAATGCTCAAGGAGGTGAGGTCATTTAGCCACTCCTCTGGTCTTGTAGGGTCTAGAGATGAGATGGAAACAAGCAGTGGAAAGGTTCCTCTAGTGTCTCCTCTGTGTACATGAGACACATTGAGGAAGCACACACAGAGGCAGACACACGGACCTCCAATCACTGGTACAAAGCCCTCCTTTAATGGCACCATGGAGGCTTAAATACCCAGCAGTCAATGGCCAACAGGTGAAAATCCCATCCTCTGATTCTCTAGGGAAGGCACAGCTTTTAGTAACTCCGAAGCTCACAAACTGTATTGTAATGCACTTAGCTCAGATGGGGGTGCAGTGTGCTGCAGAAAGACATTAACAAGTGTGGGTGAGGCTGTGGTAAAGTATACTGCAAGTAGAAGCCTAAAATGATACCAATACCAGAATGAAAAATAATCTCATGATTCCTCAGGTAAATAGAAATGTATCCACATAGAACTAGTAAACACTCTGTACATGAGTGTTGTGGGACAATGGTCTTGTACCCTGTTACTTGTATTGTTTTAATAAAATGCTGGTTGGCCAGTAGCCAGGCAGGAAGTACAGGCAGGGTGACCAGGCAGAAAGTAGGGGCAGGTCAACGAGAACAGGAGAATTCTGGGAAAGGGAAAGACTCAGTCTGCAGTCATCACCCAGACGCAGAGGAAGCAAGATGAGAATGCCCTGCTGGTGAAGGGTACCAAGCCATATGGCTACACAGACAAGAATTATGGGTTAATGTAGGATGTAAGAGTTAATAAGAAGCCTGAGCTAACAGGCCAGCCAGTTTATGATTAATGTAGGCCTTTGTGTGTTTCTTTGGGACGGAATGGCTGCAGGACCAGGCAGGACAATAATCTCAGGCAATAATTGATGGGTGTGGGGTGGTCCCTAGCAGGCAATGAGAAGTTCTTTCATTGAATTGTATACTGAGCAAGTACTTTCAGAAGGTAAGCTTTACTGTGAATTATGTTAATAAGTAATGTGGGATTACCCTCTATATGTTATGAATATGTTTTATTATCATTGGTTAATAAAGAAGCTGCTTTGGCCTATGGCAGGGCAGAACATAGCCAGGCTGGAAGAGATATATATGGAGAGAGAGTAGGCGGAGTCAAGGAGACATCAGGTAGCTACTGAAAGAGACAGATGCTGGAACCTTACCAGCATGCCATAGTCTAATATATAGATTAATAGAAATGGGTTAATTTAAGATGTAAGAGTTAGTTAATAAGAAGCCTGAGCTAATAAGCCAAGCAGTGTTGTAATTAATACAGTTTCTGTGTGATTATTCAGGTCTGGGCAGGTGGGAAATAAAGGCGCAGTCTCAGTTTACAAGTAAGCTATAGGAAGTTTCTGAGATGCATGCAGAAATGGGGAGAGCTTTGAGTAGTGCTGTTCTTAGAGGAGGTCTGAGCCAGTCTGGCTGCAGAGGCTCAGCTATGCCAGCCGGTGGTCTCAATATTTACCTTTTCCTGGCTGCCCTGGTGCCTCTGGGATCTGAGGGATGGTGGGTTCTGTTACTAGT